TTGGAGGTGATTTCAAAGGAATTCATGAATTCTATTAAAAATGTAATATGTTAATATGTAATATGTATAATATGTCCTTCTGATATGTATAAAAAGGAACAGAGAAAATTTTGTCTGGAACTTTTGTATAAAAAATGACGAGACAATAGCAGCACGGCTGGTACGTTTAGTCATTCCGTGGTGGAACTTTTCACGTCTACACGGTTGAACTCGGAACAAAAATATAAAAATTTTTTCCATCCTAAACACGAAATACTAAAGAACTCTCCATGATTTTTACAAAATATTGAAAACTCTTTTTGTAATTAGCATTTTCATAAGAAATTTTTTCAGCAAAAATAAAGAATTAAAAATGTTTTTTTCAAAAATCAATATTTTTTTCGATATCTTTACCATGTAATAATGTGTTTGTGTGTGATGTGTCTCTATAACCTGTAGATGGTAGAATTTTTTGTGTTCCTGTTCTACACCCAACGGTGTGGACGTGAAAAATTTCATCGCGGAGTGACTCGTGAAAAATGCGCACCAAGCATGCGGCTATTGTGCCGCAATTTTTTAATAAAAAATTCTAAACAGAATTTTTAAAATTCATTATTACACATATCACAAAGACCTTATGTTACATTTTTAATAAAGTTCGTAAATTTTTTCAAAATCATCTACAAAGTTATCCTATCATTTCTGGCCTATCATCGTACGACGTTACCCTTTAAGGGGACCCTGTCAGCTAAATGACGAGTCTCGTTAAGCGTATCGGCGGTCGTGCACACACGCTCATTCCGTTCCCGTTTCTTTTTACGCGTGTTCACGAGCTTTAATCCCAGCCTCCGTCTTCGCGGCGAGCGGACGTTCCGCCTGGAAAATGTGTCGGGCCGTTAAATAAATAATTCCCCGGCGTTTCGTCGCCGCGTTTTACGGGTCGTTGAAACTTTTCCCAGGGTTTCATTTAACGATCCCCGAAGTTCCCGGGGTTGTTTTAACGGGCCTGTTGTTACACGTTTTTCCCCGAGGAAAATTTAAGTCGGCGTGTTACATCGTCGCGGCGGGGACAAAGACGGTCGAAGCGTTATTCTAGACGATCGCGTGCGCACACGCTGATAATACTGCGTTTCCATGTGCAGTCAGGCAGGAAGGTAACGGGAGAACCCCGCGGTACCACCCATATCTATGGGACAGTTCTATGGGCGTAGCCAGATTATTAATCAGGGGAGCAAAAATATTAACACACCGACTGCCACAGTGAAAAAGGGTGTACATAGCCAGACACACTTTATTCTGTTTTTAAGAGTCATAAGTCGTTGATAATGTATTATACGTTTTGTTAATAGAGGCTGTTGGTCGTGTTTCAAATTATACTGCAATATTAAATATTAGTATTCGTAATAAAATTTGAAATACTTTAAAAATTCCTTGAATTATTCAAGTTCGTGCGATTTAAAAAAAATTTATCGCCTACTTATTGGGAAATGGCTTTCACGATTTTCGTTTGCTAAAATGAATATATAAAATATTAAAGAGTATTGTGAGTAGTGGGTTGGTGCTTCGAAAACTCGCTAATCACACTCAGGGTTCACACCTCGTTTCAAAATACCGCGCACTGTGCATTAATGAACCCGAATCCGACTTCCATTAAGAGGATCAACAAGTTCGCGGCTACTGACATGCAAAATTCGTGGATAAAAGTTACATCGTGCCGAAACTGCAGGTTGCCGAAGTTTCATTGCATTAATTTAAGTTCCTCGTGCTGGTTGCAGGGCCGCAATGAAACTTAAGCGATTAAGAAAAATCGATCACAAAGAGCTGGAAACTTTGTATTACTCTGTTCGCGGAGAGTTTATTCGCGCAATCGATGTAATCGTCTCGCGTTTATTGGATCGGTCTTTCTTGTAATTGCATTTCTGGTCTGCATTTCTGCCAGTAACATTTTCACCTTGACTGTCTTATGTTCTTTAATTAGCTCGATTTCTCTGGAATTTAATTTACCGCGTACAGTCATAGATCATCGAATTGTCTTCGCCGTAGCACCGACCCACGCAAGAAAGATTACGGGCACAAAGGGTTCAATCCTGTTGACCAGTATTGGTTTACCGTGGCCGTTATCGTGAACAAATGAGAGTTACAAATCCGCGGAATGCGCTTTTATTTCTGTCGTCGTAATACCGTGGAAACCGATTTGGCAACGTCTATTCGCTTTCTCCGTTTTGGCAATCGTCCACGATCGCCATATAAATAAGACGCGATATTGTGTCTCGTTTAACAATTCTTTAATAGGATTTCTTTCAGGTAAACGGATTGAACCGGTATCGAGTCGAACCGGTTGCGATACATCCACGGCAATAAAGACGCGATTCTAATTCTATGGACACGAGTACACCGTCGATTCTTCACTTGCCATGCGGTTTTGTCGATCCCTTCTAGAATTTTTTTACTTATCAAGTGTCTGACTCGATGTTGTAAGGCAAGGGGTTAAAACGTAATAATTTTTACCGTCGAAAATGGTGAAAAATTTGATGAAAGAAACCTGTAAAATATCATTTTTTAAAAAGAGTAGAATTAATATCCGGCTGTAGGGTCCATACATTAGGAACTTACACACGAAACACGATATATACATCCTGTTCTCGGATATCGAGCGAAAAGGCATCCAGCGAATAGTTAAGTTAATTTAATTGTGACTGAGCTGCGCTTGGTCCTCTCTATTTGCAAACGTGTATCTACGTTACGTACAGAGAACTGTACGGAGAGGGATGTGGCCTTCCACAGTCACGGCGGATCTCCTTGTCCGCAACGGGAAGACAAATCCGCAGGTACACGCGGCAACCCCGAACAAAACACACGTTCCTGGTTTGCACGCGGCCGGAACAGAGGAGACGCTGTCTCGAAATTCAATCGAAATCAAAGGGATGAGGTTTATTGGAGTGTAAAGGGGAACCCCCCAAACTCCGAGGATTCCTTGTGCGACCGGAAAATGTTTCGTGGCCATGGATCGATCGATTCCCGGCCGACCTTATCATCGAAGGATTGCAATTTCGGCTCGTTCCCCCCCGGGACGATTCAGGTTCCTCCTCCTTATCGTTCTCAACCACCCCTCCGCCCACCCCGCGACGACATACGAAACTTTCTTCGCCGCGTTTCACCGGACTGCATCGACCAGTCCTCTCTCACACGAATCATTGCGTCCTCATACGATCGTGACTTCGGGGAGCATCGTTTTATTTGTTTTTTTTTTCTTGTACTCTGTTATTCGCGTCGTTTGATTTATGGAAGCTAGAACGAAGGAAAGGAAGGTTCTTTAAGGTGAACGAGAGGAACGTTTTGCTGATTTAGCGAGAAACGGTGCAGAAGTGATATATGGATTTTATGAAACGTAGTAGATAAATTCGGGTTCTGAAAGACTCGAGTTGGATCGTCTGGAGCTAGAACATTTGGTCCCATTGGATTTTCTCAGTCCTAAATATTACCCAAAATCATATGGTTTGCTCCTTCTAGGTGCCCCGATTTGAATTTAAGTTCGTATCCGGTAACAAACTACATCCGTGTCCTTGTGGGGTTACAAATTGAGTTGAAGACTGTGATCAAACTAACTCGATAAACGTTTCATTTCTGACTAATTAGAATCTATACGGAGCTGTAGTAATACGTTCATTTAAGTCTAGTTACAGATTTAAACTTAAAGCGAATATTCCTGTCCTGGATATTCATCTAAATATTCTCTGGAAATTTGGTCAAGTCCCTTTTCAATTAATGTACAGTCAGGCTATCCTTTTGCAAATTACTTCGGTCTCCCTTGTCTCATTAACAGTTCCGGACTGTTCCGGTGCTCCACAGCTCTTAGTCACGTGCCATCGGGATTCATCTTAAGGTTCGCCAGTACTGTTCGTATATTTGCGGTAGGGAATCCCGAGGCTCTTGGTCAGACTTAATGCGCCTAATGGTGTCTCCCATGTGCCGTTATCTGTTTGCGGCACCAATGGCAATTTACCAGTTGCCGACGGGCGTCAACTTGATCGAAATTTATCGGTACTACTTTCGCGAACGCTACGACGGTGTTTTATGGACTCCTTTTATGCCCACGCATACTTAGATACATCGAGGAGGTTCCCTTGGAAAGGGATAAAAGCGTGTTCTTAAGTGAAAGCATTAATTGTGATCAATGATTATGGCGGCGCAGTATGATTTACGGTTATTATCGTGCATGGAACAGGATAATTTGGTGTATCCATGGTTATGCTTCATATTAGAATCAGTATCCAGGCAATACCGAATTTTACGACGTAATATAAAATATTCATAAATCTGTCACGTTTCACATTCAATGTATATTTATCTTTATCGGAACGTAAATACGGTTTAATTGAACATTTCCTTTACGTTTTATGAACCAAAGAAATTTTCCTGAATTTCATCTGTTTCGTTGATCTCTGTCGATATCATATTACACGTTGCGTAACGTTATCGACATTCAGAAGTAAGTACGAAGAGACACGGAAATATATATCAAGGAAGAAAATACGATAGTCGTCGGATTAATTTAGAGAGAAAGTTAGAGTTCGTAGATTTTATTTACGTACGGATTAATCGAAGTTCTAGATGGGCTCTGAAAAAAGTCCCGAGGGAAAAAAAAGTCTCGAGGAAATAAAATCATCGGGAACTAGAAGCGGATCCGCGGTGACGTCGAAAATTTCAAACTAACTTCATTAAAGCAGAAACGGAAAATTTAGCGAGAGCCGGATGTAACTCTCGGGGTATTAGAGAGCGGGGACTCCTCAAGAACTACTATCATCATCAATTATCTCCGTACAAGTTGACACCGGTGCAAGCTGTCTCAATTATGAATTACCGTCTTTAGACACCCTTACGTTTGCACTTGTTTTCGTATTATGAACTTCATACATTTCATTAGACGTTTTTCCGTCTCCACGACGGAAGAACATCTTTCTCTCTTTCCATCTCTCTCTTTCTCTTTCGTAGAGTCTTGTATGAATGTATAGGATACTCACGGCGTCATTGTGATTCCAGAATATATAAGCTGGAGGTTCTGGACTCTGCCAGACTATGCACGTGAGGTTTATAGTGCTTCCTCGATTAATGAACAGGTCTGGCGCGCCCAGGATTTTCGTTTTCGGTTCTGAAACAGAAGACATTTCAACCATTTATTAGCTACACACAGTTCTTATGTACAGTTGAATTTGATATAAGATTGACTGTTATTTTATTTATATATTCTGAAGTATCATAAAAATTTCGTCAGATAGATCATACAAACGATGAGTGTCAGACTTTCATCTATGAGTGAACATGGTTCAATTGTTCTTGTAGCTCTTGTAATTAAAAGGAACAAATTTTTAAAAGTTAACCCCTTCGTGTCGTATAACGGGTTTGACCCGTCGAAGCGTTTAGGTGCCAAATTGGATTATGATCGGTTTATCTTGACACAAAATGTTGTCTGCGTTTGTTACTTTCATTTTTTTTTACAAGAAAATAACCTATACCTATACGGCAATCGTCGTCGACTATACACATATTCAGCCCATCGAAAAATGGGGTTGTCGACGTGCCGGTATTTATACTCGTCGATTCGGTTCGCCGATCCGTTTTGCGCCCTTTCTAGCGGCGACGAAGAGCGATGCGGTTGACCTGGCTCTTGTGCCCGTGCCCGAAAGAGCACTTTGAGGCGGCTCATATATAGAGTATCCGCGCTATCGTGTGCACTATCAAAGAGAGAAAAAAAAAAGACACGGCAAGAGTGTAAGCGTAGGTGGAGAGAGATAGAGAGAGAGAGAGAGGACGGGCGGTTGTACGGAAACGAGAGGAATAGGGGTAGAAAGAGGAAGGGAGGTTCAGGCGATGGGGTGCTGAGAGTCAGCGAGAGGAGGAGGACGAAAGGGAGTCGTGCTCGGTTCCAGGGGATGGCTGGTCCGTGGAAAAAAGAGTTTCTGGTCAGGATGAACGAATTTTCGCTGGTTGGTGTGTAAAAGCGATGCGTGTATGTACATGTGTGACGAAGGCTGAGATAGAAAGCTCGAGAGAGACAGAGAGGGGTCACTCGGTATATAGGATCGATGTGAATATTTTCTGGACGGCCTGCTAGCCGAGAATTGACCGAAATAACCGGGCACCGTACTTTACGGCTTTGTGCAGCAGATGATAGATACCTCCAGCAGAGACGACAGTCACGGGGGCGTTCCACCACCCCTGTGTAACATTTTTCCGTTCACCTTTCTTTCCTCGTCTACCCCCGTTCCTCTTCGGTATCTGCGTGCCGGCCGAACTCGCTTCTGAATAGTTTTCGGCCGTTTGATTTTATTCCCCCCCCCCCAACCACCGCCTACGCGGGCTCTCAGGTTCATTCTGCCGTTAACATCCAACCGCTCGCTAAAAGTGCTTTTATTGACGAAGAACCGCCCAGTCTCGCTATAAAGCCCCGTGTTTGGCTGCGGTGTATTTACGCTTTTTTACAGTTGCACGGAAGGCTTGCCCGCGTCCTGATTGCCAGAGGATCGCCTCTGGATCGCTGAACAACGTAAATTTCACTTTGCATAAAGTGCTTTTAACCGGCTGGGAAATGGTTTGTTTATCGGAGGCTTTGAAAAACGGGATTGCTGAACGCTTGATAAATACTTTTCTGTAGGAGTGTATTAAAAAAGCTGAGCAATTGCCCGGGAATTCTGTTGCGTGCTCTCTTTTGTTAGTTGTAAAAAAGAATATAAAATATTCAATTACTGTTTCTATTTATCTGTTACCGTGACGTATTAGAAATGATTGCCACCTAGAGACATCGGTGTTCTTTCTTTCGTTTCACGGGAGCAAAAGGTGTACAGTAAATCCTCGTTATATTACAGTTAAAATATTTTTATTAAATACTTTCAATTTTTTGCCTTTTACCCCCTACTTTTTCCCGATCAGTCTTTCTCCAAATTCTTCCATTTATGTTTCTCCTTTGCCTCGCGCTACGGATTTTTTCCCTCCTCGATTTTTCGCCGACCTTTTTTCTCTTGCCGGGATCGCTGCTGGGTCGGGGGTTATAGCCGAAGCTGGGCAACACCGCCTATGTGTCGATCGATATCAGGAATATACGCGAAACGCTTTAACGTGGGTTAACCGCAGATGAAAGCCGAACTGGCCGGACGACGCCACGCCGTCCAGGACTGAAATCACGTATTGGCTCTCCAATACGAGGTTTCAGCCTCGTACACATTCGGAAAGGTGTGCCCATCCCCTTCAAATTCTAATTAGTGGCCCCCGAGTGCTTTTAGTGGGGACGAACTGTAACGTCGAAACGGGACGCCTCTGATCTGTCCGTTAACCCCGTTACAAAGCGGAGTACTCGAGGGACTTCATTTGTAGAACGAATCTTTGATATTAAACAAAAAATCTGGGTATGGGTTTCTTGAAACGTCAAAACGTCGAAACCCTTTGAAACCCAAGAAAGTTTCGGGTTTCGAGAATTCGAAATTTGGCAGTTTTTTCGTGATTCGAAATTCTCGAAATCTGGGTAAGAAAAAATATAAAATCGATTAAAAGAGAATCGTTCGCAGCGAAGGAAATGTCGTTATTATTCTTTAGAATTTAATTTGAACGTAACTTTCAGAAGTGGCGAAATGTTTGAAAAGAAGTTAATTGAAATAAGATGAGTTCCAACGGCAATTAAGTTGATCGTTATTAATAGAATTCCCGGAATATAATGGTTATTGAGAGATATGATAATGAATCCATTTCCAATTACTTTGCCGTCGAAGATCGTATTCGGCAAATATGCAATTTTGACGAACGCAAATTCCCTTTTGTTTGCCCTTTATTGATATAAATCTAGACTGGGTTATTAATCTCCCCGTGACATTGAATAATCTAGTGCAATATACTGGGACGGCAGCCAATATTGGCATGAGCGAAATATGGACTCGTTCCTTTCGAGAGGGTCCGTGATTACACGGGATTTCGGGAATGGTGCCGACTTATGATATAAATTTCCAATTCGCTCGGTGCTGGTGTATTCAATGTAACACGGCGGACGTGTATACATGTTAATAAAACTTCTCCTTCAGAGTGCCTCCTGTTACTTTTATTCCAATATTAATACATGTAAATTTAACAATGAAAAAAAATTCATAAAAACACTCCACGGATTACACGCACTCGCGTTCATAAATATGAGTACACACTTCTTATATTTAGAGAAATTTTATATTTTCGAGAGACTACGTATTTTCATTAATTTTTACTATCTCCATATTCGTTTAAATATCACCGAACTTCAATATTTGATAGTCAACATTCATTGAAAGTACAACTTTTTCCAGGTTATCGTCAAAATGTAATATAACTAATAATTCAAAACGACAGTCTGGATATCTATGTACATGAAAAGTTAATTAACAAATATTTCAAATTAAAACTTTTCTAAACGAGAACCAGGGGTGAAAAGAGGCTGCAATAGCTTGTGGTTCCGTCATCAGTCGTTCCCGGATTAATTTTGTCGGGTATATACAGGGTGGACTAGGAAACGTGTCGAAATTTCGAGGGGTAGTTTCACCCCTTAAAGTCGCGTCTCAGCCGATAAAAAAAATACGTATCCCTTATTTTTGACTGCTTAACAGACATACGAAGTTTCATTAAAATCGGAGGATGGCACTTCCGTGCCTTCCCTTGTAACTAGTAGAATAATCATAGTTTCGTGGTCCACCCTGTATGCGAGGCTAGAAGGAAAAAGAGTGTCGATCGCAGAATTCCGATGACCGTTCGTCGATCGATCGATCAATCGATCTTGTATCGTCGAATCTCCGTGCCTTGTATGGTATACAACGCTTTTGTACTTACCGGTACTGTCCTGTCGAGGAGTCCACAAAGCGTACTCGCCCGCTTCGTTGTTGACACTCGACCCAAATAAAGCACCGTTCACAATGTCGGCAATGGCTGTGCCTTCGTTTCGCGATTTCTGAACGTCGTGTCGCGCGGAGAACACCGGACAGAGATATCAAGAATAGGGGGTGGAGGGTGGGGATGAAGGAGAATCGGACCGATTCACGATTGTCCCCTGGACCAGACGGTAAATTGCGTTAGACGACGGGATTCTGCGACGACGTACATACATACATACACGGTTCTCCCGAACGCGGCTATTCGGTGGAAATAGAGGGTGATTTCGAACGAAATAGAAACTGGAGTCATACGGCTGGAAAGAAACGAACGCCGTGGAGCACGATGCTCGATGGCGAATATTGGAACCAATCGGGGACAAAGTATGTTCCACTCTACTAGACTATCAGGGATCTTCGATACAGTAATGTCTTCTCTCTAGCGGGGATCGTTAAAACAGATGACTATCGACAGAAACAACATATCGAGTCGAAGAATAATACTGAATTGATATGATCATGTAGACTTATATCGATAGTCAATTAAATAAAATAGTCAATTAATAAATGGAAATAAATCGGTTATTTAAACAGATATTTACTAAGGCAGATTCTTAGGTAACAGTTTGGAAAAGAAATCGATCAATCGCAAACTTTATGGGAACCTTACGATTGGTTCATTTTCCTTACGACCTGGTTACGTTACGGCAAATGCAGCGATTGTATCGAAATTTCAATACGTATGGGTTAAGAATCGATACTGAAGTGTATCATCACGTTAATTGAATTGAAAATTATCGATGTTCGAAATGTCGATACTGTATCGCCCATGACTAAAGCTCACCTCAAGCTCCACCAAAAAGTGCACATCTTTACATGATATTACGTTTACAACACCGTTTCACTGTATCCTTCTTCAATATTTTCATGGAACGAAGCACTCGCATCATTAATTCACGCTTCATCATACGAACACGCGTGCATTTAAAACGTTGCTCATTGTTCCGTCATACAAATGGTTCGCACCGGTATTGATTTAGAAAACGTGTATTGTTCCACCCCATATTATTTTATCCTGCGGCTAATTTCCCTCTCTCCGTATCTGCGATTTGTTTCCGTGACAAGAAACACTTAATTCCGCACGCAAATTTTTTTCCCCTTCCCCCGGCGAATTAACGACCGCTCTCACGTGCGCGGATATATTTCCGTCGCGGCGGACCACAATCACCGACGGGGTGTATGTTCTCGAACGATTCTAGTGTTTTGCAAATGT